ACGCGGTGACATGGGGACACAGGTACATGGGGACGTGGGGATGTGGGGACATGGGGGCATGGGGACACAGGGGCGTGGGGACACGAGGGCGTGGGGACACGTGGACACAGGGACGTGGGGACACGGGGATACAGGGCATGGGGACGTGGGGACACAGGGATGTGGGGACACGAGGATGCACTGGCATGGAGATGCGGGGACGTGGGCACGAAGGGACATGGGGACGCAGGGACTCACGGATGCAGTGGCATGGGGACGTGGGGACACGAGGATGGGGGACATGGGGACGCAGCAGCATGAGGTTGTGGTAACTTGAGGATCCAGGATATGGGGAGCCTAATGGTGGAACTGGGGACACGGTGGCATTGGGAACATGGTGGCACGATGGCACCAGGGATGCGATGGCGCCGGGACTCTGGGACATGAGGGACGTGGTGACACAGGGGATGTTGGGGACATAGGGACATGGGGCGGTGACAGCGGGGCCGGGACCGCCGTGTCCCCACCCACGGTGACATTCCCACGGTGTCCCCAGCTCTCAGGGTTGGCGCTGCGCGTGGGGATCCTCTTCTACGGGGGCCACCTTGTCACCGAGGGCCACCTCAGCACCGGCGACCTTGTCACCTGCATCCTCTACCAGATGCAGTTCACGGATGCCGTGGAGGTGACAGGACACCCGGCCTGCCCCACGTGTCCCCTCCGTGTCCCCCCCCATGCTGTGTCCCCATGTCCCCCCACTGCATCCTCCTCTCCGTGTCCCCATGTCCTCTTTGCTGTGTCATTCTGTGTCCCCATGATCTCCCTTCCACCTCCCCCTGTTGTCCCCATGCTCTTCCATCCATGTCCCCATGTCCTCCCCTCTGTGTCCCCGACATCCTCCCCTCCATATCCCCAACGTTCTCCCCTCCACATCCCCATGTCCCTTCTTCATGTCCCCCATGTCCTCCTCTCCATGTCCCCAAGGTCCTCCCTTCCATGTCCCCAACGTCCTCTTCTCCACATCTCCACGTCCCTCCATGTCCTTCATGTCCCCCATGTCCTCCTCTCCATGTCCCCAACATTGTCCCTCCATGTCCCCCTGTCCCCAACGTCCCCACTGTCCCCAGGTGCTGCTCTCGCACTACCCCAAGGTGACCAAGGCCGTGGGCGCCTCGGAGAAGCTCTTTGAGTACCTGGAGCGGGTGCCGCGCATGGCGCCCTCGGGGACGCTGGCACCGCGGGACCTCCAGGGCCACCTGCAGCTCCTCGACGTCTGGTTCTCCTACCCCACGCGCGACAGTGTCCCCGTGGAAACGGGTGGCACCGCGGGTGGCACCGCGGGTGGCACCGCAGGCCATGGGACCTTGTGCCACCCTTGGGGATGCTGCAGTGGCTCCGTGTTGGCCTGTGGGGCTGCTGGGTTGGCCTGGGGGACACTGGGATGGATCAAGGGACACTGGGATGCCCTGGGTGCCACCACGATGCCATGGGGGTGATGCCATGTGGGACACCCCAGGGGACACCAAGACACCATGGGTGTCATCATGATGACACAGTGGTTGATGCAACCTGGTGCCACCTTGTGTGCCACCATGATGCTGTGGTTGACACCAGGATGATGTCACATGGTTGGTGCTACCTGGTGCCACCTGAGTGCCACCATGACACCGTGGTTGCCAACCTGACACCACATGGTTGATGCAACCTGGTGCCACCATGACGCCGTGGTTGCCACCACGATGATGCCACATGGTTGATGCAACTTGGTGCCACCACGATGCTGTGGTTGACACCACGATGATGTCACATGGTTGATGCTACCTGGTGCCACCATGACGCCATGGTTGCCACCATGATGCCACATGGTCGATGCAACCCAGTGCCCCCCGAGTGCCACCATGATGCTGTGGTTGACACCATGATGATGTCACATGCTTGGTGCTACCTGGTGCCACCTGGGTGACACCATGACACCGTGCATACTGCCACAATGCCGTATGGTTAATGCTACCTGGGTGCCACCACGATGCTGTGGTTGACACCACGATGATGCCATGTGGTTGATGCTACCTGGTGCCACCATGACGCCATGGTTGCCACCATGATGCCACATGGTCGATGCAACCCAGTGCCCCTCGAGTGCCACCATGATGCTGTGGTTGACACCATGATGATGCCACAGTTGATGCAACTGGGTGCCACCATGATGCCGTGGTTGCCACCACGATGCCATGTGGTCGACGCAACCCAATGCCCCCCGGGTGCCACCCACCCGCTGTCACCTCCACCCACGTTGACTGCTGGGCCCCACGCAGGGCGTCTCGCTGGAGCTGCGCCCGGGTGAGGTCCTGGCACTCGTGGGCGCCGCGGGCAGCGGCAAGAGCACCCTGGTGGCCCTGCTGCAACGGCTGCATGAGCCCACGCGCGGCCACCTCCTCCTGGACGGCCGCGAGCTGCACGACTACGCGCTGGCCTTCCTGCGCGCCCAGGCGCGCCCGCGTCACCCTCGGTCACTCTTGTCCCCCCGTCATTGTCACCTATTGGGTGCTGAGTGTCCCCGCGCGCTCGCACACGTTCCCACAAACCCCATCGAGTTCGGTGGCTTCGTCCCCCTTTGTCATTGTCACCTATGGGGTGCTGAGTGTCCCCACGCACTCGCTCGCGTTCCCGCAAGCCCCATCGAGCTCGGTGGCTTCGTCCCCCTTTGTCATTGTCACCTATGGGGTACTGAGTGTCCCCGCGCGCTCACACACACTCCTGCAAACGCCAGTGACTTGGTGGCCTTGTCACCCTCATGCCCCTTTGTCACTGTCACCTATGGGGGTGTTAATTGTCCCCGCATATTCCGACAGATGCCATCGAGCTTGGTGGCCTCGTCCCCATTGACCCCCTTGTCATTGTCACCCGTGGGAGTACTGAGTGTCCCCGTGCGCTCCTGCAGACTCCAGCGCGCTTGGCGGCCTCGTTCCCCCTTGTCCCCCTTTGTCATTGTCACCTATGGGGGTGCTGAGCGTCCCCGCGTGTCCCCGCAGACGCCGGCGAGCTCGGTGGCCTCGTGTCTGGGGGACAGCGCCAGGCGGTGGCCATCGCGCGGGCCCTGCTGCGTGACCCCCGCGTCCTCGTCCTCGACGACCCCACGAGCGCCCTGGACGTCGAGGCCCAGCTGCAGGTGGCCACACGTGGTGGCCCTCGGTCCCCGTGTCCCCTTGGCGCCCCCTCCCCATGTCCCCTCTGTCCCCAGCATCCCAGGTGTCCCCATCCCCAGGGCACCTCTCCCTTGTCCCCAGGGTACCTGTCCCTTGTCCGCAGGGTCACCTTGGTCCCCAGGGTCCCTGTCCCCCAGGTCTCTGTCCCTGGGTCCCCGCTTTGTCCCCAGTGTCCTCCCTTTGTCCCCAGGCTCTTCGCTTTGTCCCTAGAAGCCATGTCCCCATTTCCCCCCTGTTCCCAGGGTCCCCATCCTTGTCCCCTGGGTCCCTCCCATTATCCGAAGGGACCCTGTCCAATGTCCCCAGGGTCTCCCCTTGTCCCCAGAATCCCTGTCCTGGGTCCCCTCTGTCCCCAGGGTCCCCATCCTTGTCCCCGGGTCCTTGTCCTCAGAGTCCCTGTCCAATGTCCCCAGGTCCCCTCTGTCCCCAGGGTCCCCCTACCTTGTCCCCAGGGTCCCCCCATTGTCCGCAGAGTCCCTGCCCCGGGTCCCCTCTGTCCCCAGGGTCCCCCCATTGTCCCCAGGGTCCCCTCCCTCATTCTCAGAGTCCCCATCCTCGTCCCCACTGTCCCCTTGTCTCCAGGGTCCCCATATCCCCATCCCAGCCCCCTGGTGTCCCCGTCCCCCTTGGTCCCCAGGGTCCCCACATCCCATCGGTGTCCCCACGGGTGACCGGGGGGGGAAGTCCCCGTGTCCGCCCCG